CACCGCTCTCCCCATCACACCCGTCGCGCTACCGTTCCCTCTTGCCCTCGGGTTCGCTTTCTTTTTCTCCGTACACTGTACTTCAACCCCCCGTATGGCAGGTTGGCGCTCAGCGGCACTTTTCCTTCCCCCCCCGCGACCACGTCACCCTAGCCGAGGCTCTGGACTTGGTGGACTTCGAGTCGGCTGCGGAGGTGAGGTGCGGGTTGAAGAGATGGGTGGTGGGGGTGGGGGAGGGGGAGGGAGGGAGGGAGGGAGGGAGGGGGAAAGGGAGGGAAGGAGGGGGAAGAAAGCACAGGGTGGGAGTGCAAGGAGAAGCCGGGGGGAGTCAACTGTCGACACGTCCAAGGAGGACCAATTGCGGGGTGTGTGGGGGTTGCATACATACATACATACATACATACATACATACATACATACATACATACATACATACATACATACATACATACATACATACATACATACATACATACACGTGCAGGTCACGGGCCAGAAGTTTTACTACCTTCGTAACGCGGGAGCCCTCCTGGAGTTGGCTCTCGTCAACTACGCATTCAACAAGGTGTGCGGGCGTGTGTGCGGGCGTGTGTGTTTTCTTGGGGGGGTTGAAGAGGAGAGCGAGGGGGGAGGGATGTAGCGCGTACCTGGTTTGTTGTGACACAGGGGGGTTGAGGGCCTTATCTAATAATATCCCCACCCCGGTCGCCCCCGCTGTGCTCGAGTGACGGGTTTTCAAATGCTGGAGGGGGAGATGAGGTAATGGTGATGCCGTACTGAGATATCCTCAGACATTTCCTCAGCTAATCCAGTTTTTTCTCTATTCCCGGCCCTTACCCGCCCCCCCCACCCCGGGTGGGCCTCCTTCAGGTCGTATCCCGGGGTTTCACGCCCATTATGACTCCGGACCTTGTCAAGGCCAGTGTGCTGGAGAAGTGCGGTTTCCAGCCCCGGGGGACGGGGACGCAGGTGCGTGTGTGTGTCTGTGTATTTGTGTGTTGGGGGAGGGTGGGGGACGCGTCGGGGGCTTTTACGATATCGAGAAGTGGGCGGGACTGGGATTGGGTTGGAGAAGGAGGAAGGGCCGTGTAGACGGGACCCGGGACGTGCGGTTAAGTGTCCCGCGTGTGGTTGCGTGTGTATTGTTCTGGGGGCCGGAGGTCTGGTCGAGGAAGGGGAGCCGTGACCGTGACCGGCCTGCAGAGCTTGTCATTGTATGTGTATTTCATCGGGACCCATGGTGCTTGCTTTTTACTCATCTCCCCCCCTTTTTTCCTCTCCGCCCCCTCTTCTTCCGTCACTTGCTTTCCTCGCTCTCGCCTCCCTCATCGTTTACCCCCCTCCACCTCCTATCCCCTCCCTAACCTCCCCC